ACGTCGAAGTGGTAGGAGTCGTGCAGCTGGATGAGCCACTCTGAGGTGGAGGGCACGTGCTTCTGCTTTTGCTCCCCCGCAAAAGCGGGGTGATGTCGGCCGACGTTCGCCGAGTGGCTGTGGGCTGCGCCGCCAGGTTTCCGCTTCGGCCGAAAGGGGCCCCCCCAGGCGGATCCAGCCAAGGCGTCGCCGCTTCGCTCTGAGAGCCTCGGCCTCGGCCGCCGGCCGGCCACCCACAGCCACGGGCGATCGCCTTCGACGGGCGTTCGCGGCTCTGCAAGTAAAGCTTCTGCCTATCAAACTCGGCTTCGCGAGGCTCCGCAGGTGCTGCGGTCCCAGGGCCGAAGCGGAAATCTTCGATGGATTCCGGAAGCCCAGCGCGCCGCCGCCGCAGCACTGGCACTGAAGTGCCAGTAATGCTCGTTTGGATATCTGGGGTCTCAAGAGTTCGGTCAAGCACACACATCGTCTTGCCATGTCTTGTCGCATCTCGCCACTCAGAGCCCTCTAGGATTGCGAGGCTCAGCGGAGCAGTTGAAGGGAGGTGTTCATAAGGATCCGTCGTGTGCACAGGCTTCAGGCGGAGTTCCAGGCCCAGTCTCCAGGAGGGGTGGTGTCGAGGCTGAGCTTCTGCATGGCCCACTTATGCCACATGGCCTGGGTTTTCTGTGTCTGGCTGCAGATCCTGAAGCTCGAGGTATGGAAGAACGGATCAGAATTCGGCACAGCCTGCAGATGTTGAAAAATGAAGCCTTTTCAAAACCCGCTCACTTGTTGATACTGGAAGCTACCTATGAGAGTAATCGATCACCTCACGAGCTTTTGGGAATCTCGAGTCTTCGCCTAAGAATCCTTCAACCAAGACTCGGCAGATCTGCGCTAGGGAGCCCTCACCTTCCGACATTCCTACATCTTTTGCGGCCCGAGCTTCCCGACAAACAAAAAATCAACAAGCCCTCCACGCCCAAAGGAAAGCAAAGAGACAACACCAATGTTTAGGCATGATGGGCGATCATCTCTCCCGCCTCACCTCGCATATCAACCTATGTGGGTCTAGCCCCCAACCTGTGACTTAGCAGCGGAGTTGGCGATTGCTGTGCATGGATATGGTATTGCACTGACAAGTGGCTTCCTCCGGTGCGCTGAGACTGTTGCAAAATGCACTTGTCACAGAAACGGACATTGTTGCCGCTTCAGTGCAACATCTCACGCTGCTCACTTGAGCATTGAAGGGACATTTTCCAGTTGGCTGGTCTCCTCTCAAATGCGCTTGCACCGGCCGTGTCTGACACGCCCACATGCTTTGCACGGCATGCTTTCCCCCGCTGTGCGACGCGTCTCCACGCACCCAGTGGCACGCTGACGTGCACGCGCCGCGACATGTGTGCAGGCAAGGCTTGAGGATGTGTGAAGATGATGGCATCAGCTTCCATGCGACGCCTGGTTAACACGCATTTTTGGCTAGACCCTCGAGTTCCAGCTGGTTCTTGGACCCTCCGTTGATGCAAGGGATCAGTGTCCCTTCAGGCACAGAGGCCGAAGCAGACCGTTTCGACCTCCCAACAGCCCAGCCCTTGCCGAAGCCGCCGAAGCCGCCGAAGCCGCCGAAGCCGGAAGCCGGCACAGCTTTTGTTCGCCATGGCTTCGCCTTCGCGGGCGCGAAGCACGTCAATGAGCCGGGACTGAACCGGGCTTTGCAGTGCCAGGTGAGCAGCGGCTGTTAGAGTGATGTAGAGCTGAGGGTCCGTCCCAGTATCTTCCCAAGCCTGTGCAAGACAAGGAATCTGACCAACGGAGTCTTTGCAGCTGTTTGGAGCCCACACAGAAGGCATGCAGACTTCAGTAGCTTTGGGCGCAGTGCAGCTTTTCAGATGCCGAAGCCCAGGTCCCGCCTTTTGAAGACCGCCTGAGCTGGCGCAGCTGAAAGGCTGCGCAGGCGGCGGCCTTGAGCCATTCTGTGTGCCTCCCCCCTGGCCTCGGGCTGTCGGATGAGGCTCTCTCCGCTGCCCTTGACATAATCCGGACAGCGATAGCTCCCGATATGCGAGGTGCACCAACTTAAGCGAAGCCTCCAAGTCCACAATCGTGGAAACCTCCAGGCATGACCTCTGCACTTCAACGGTTTATGAAAAAGGAGACGAGGTGAAGCTTTTATTCGCCCACCCATCAAAGGGGATTTGAGCTTCGGGCTAAAGGTATCAGCCACTTACCCTGGAACATGACTGGAAGAAGTTAAGATCGAAGACGAGATTTGATGCCTGCAGGACTTGCAGAGCTTGGCGCTCGGGTTCGCCCGAATCGTTGTTTCAGTTAGGTGAGGCATGCTTTATGTCATGCTCGGCAGCCTCTTTCTATTTATCCTCTTGTCAATAGACCAGCGCACACATAATCAGATTTCCAGCCTTGTTCGGCAGAAGGTTGGCTGAGGCTTGTGGCCAGGAGTTCCTTTAGATCTCTGCAGTCGGGGTCTGGGCGCTACAGACTTGCTCGCTCGAGTCTCGTTTGCTTCGCGCTGGGGCGATCGCATGCGCTTGCTGCCACCTTCGGCTTGCCCCCTCGGAAGCAGCAAGGCGTTCGGGTGCCACTGACATCGACATGTGTCGTGAGCCCTTGAAGGGCCCTTCCGTTGGGCTTTTCAGTCCATGAGACCTACACGGCTTTGAAAGCTTTGGCCCGAAACGGAAGCCAGTAGCCCGAGCTTCGGCGCGCCGGCGAAGAGAGCTGGCGGGTTGCTTGGGATGAGAAGCGGTTTGTGTGGCAGGTGAACGCATGGAAGCCTGTTGCCGGTGCGGGCTGCGGATGCTGCGGCACGGTGCACACAGAAGCTTCGGCTCATCGGTTCGGGCAGAGTGTCGGAGAATGGGTGAGGGCATGATTCGGCCGTGCAACAGGGTTGCCCCGCGACTCAGGAGGCTCGACGGGGCAGGGCGACTGCCTTGCAGGGGTGTCCCAAAGTTGCTATTGAAACGCGAAGCTTCCTGCCCTGAGTCCCTGAGTTGAAGGAGGTCAGACGGTGCAACCGCCTTTGGTCCAAAACCTGGCCTGGACTTGGCCTGGGATCCATAAAGACGTTAGCGATTCGATCAAGGCTATAAGGCAGGGCCAGGCGGGGCAGAGGGTGAGGTTTCTGCGGGTGCAGAGGATGAAAGACATGAAAGGTCGGCAGCCGAGCAGCTTCACTCGCGGCTCCGTTCTTCACAGGTCGGTGTCGCTGGAGACTTCAGAAGCTTCAGAGTGCGAGCGCCAGCACTCCTCGAGTCTCTTCGAGCTTTAGAGCTTGACACGAGGCTGCACCGCACGAGCCAGGATCTGTGGCCTCGCACCTGGCCGAGGTCGGGGTGGGGGTCGGACGCGTTTGAAGAGGCACAGGAAGCTGCCGCATCGGGCGGGAAACATTTCGTGCTGCAAGGGTGCAGGGACGTGGACGACGGCAGGGTTTCCCTGAGCCGTCAGCTTGACTATGCGTAGACTCCGTAGACTCGCCGCTGTTGCAGCTTACGAGTTTGCGAGAGTTCTGCCAGGCGCCATTGACTCAACGCAGCCACCGCTTGCAGCTCCCTCGCTAGCGAGACGGAGCCTCGCTGCACCTGTGCCCAAACTTGAAGTGAAGAGGTCTCAGGTGGCTTCTCCCCTGAAGCTCAGCCTGCCGGAAGCCCGGCAAAGCCTGCGCCAGTTTCCTCCGGAGATGGATGAGGCTTGACAGTGTTTACGGGATCAGCAGAAGCCCCAAAGACCTCCCGGGTCTGGTTTTAAGGACCAGAAGAAAATCGGCTCTGGCCCAAACCTGCGGGTGGCCTTGACGAGCGTGCAGAAGGAGCTCGTGGTCTGTTTCTGGGTCTGGGTCGGAAAGTCGGAAAGAGTCGGAAAGAGTCGCTCGAAATAACGGGCTGAGAGGCTTTCGTCTCTCTCGAGGCACTCGCTCTCGAGCTGCTTTAACAAAAAAGCAGCTGCGTTCTCAATCTTGGAGCCAAGGCTGTGCTGTGAGGTCCCGGAGGTCCCAGCGAGCCCCTCTGGGAGCTGATGCGCCCCTGGCAGTTGCCGGGGCTTCGCAGAAGAGCGGACAGGCTAAGCATGGCTAAGGTGTAGAGCAAACTCTGAGTCGGAGCCCAGATGAATGGAGGCCAGGTACTGCTTTGGAACCTGGCTCCCGTGCTGCGAGTGCGGCGCTTGTGGGGGAAAAAGTGGCGCTGCTCTCGGCAGCGGAGTCTCGAAGGATTTCAGTCTCGGAGATTCGTTTTGCAGCTCGGACCTTACGAGTTTGAAGCAGGCAAAGTTCTTTCGGGAAGGGCATGGGAACCTTCGGAGATGAGGAGACAAGATATGGCAGTTTCAATTGCGAAGCAGGACTGAGAGATGAACTCCGGAGCTCCCGTGCTAGCTGTCCTTACGGCTCAACAGATCTCGACACACAGGACCTGCTCCTACAGCTTTAGAGTCTTAGACGGCCACAGCTTCCTAGGCTAGATCGCTCGCTTCTTTCGGAGTTTTTTTCGCCATGTTCTGCTGCGAGGGCAACAGTCATGCCGAGGCTCCACTGGTTCATGAATTATGATGATGAAGTCCGAAGTGCAGAGTATGTTGGTAGCGAGAGGCCTTTGCAACTGGGTTTCTGGTAGGAAGTATGAGTCGTGGTAGTAGCAGTGGGCGATCCGGGCATTTCGAGTGTCAGTGTATGAAGAAGATGGTCATAGTAACGATGATCATCATGGTGCTGATGGGGCTGTAGCTCATGTGATGGCTCGACCCATGCCGGGGCCCACCCCACGTCTTCAATCAACCAAGACGCCCACCCCACGTCTTCAACCAAGACTGGGATGCAGTGCATGGGACGGGTCTTGTATCATGGGGTGTGGGACAGAGCCGAAAGGATGGGGATGGGAGGGGCCAGGGTACAGTAGCGGGATAGTGGGGTTATGCTCCGATAGTTGTTGGCTGTTGGGTTAAGCATCAAACACGAGTCCACTGAAGCTTTTGCTCGGAAGCAGCGAAACTCGGCAGAGGCGTCAGGCGAGCTCGTCCTTCCACCGGCCAAAGTTTTGAAGGACGAGCCAGTTATTCAGGACCGGTTGGCCAATGAATGTTTACATTTGAAGGGTTTTCCCGGTTTCAATGCATCGCTGCTCGGCGTGGTTTTCAAATCTATTTTCACCACCCGTCCCATCATTTAAATTATTATTATTCCCCGCCACAGGAGGTGCACATCGTCCACTTCAACGATGTCTACAACCTCCAGCCGCAACACCAGGATCTTGGGGAGAAGTGGGAAGGATCTGCAAAGAAGCAGGTTAGACCATGAGATTTAGCACTGGGAGTCCCAAGGCAAGCCATACAGAAAGGGCAGCTCCGAAGGATTACAGGGCAAGGAGCGCATGGTTTGAGACCCATGTGCAGACTGCTAGTCGCAAGATCTACGGAAGCCTCCACAAGAATGGGACGGTTCCGAAGCACATTCTCTGGCTTTGGTTTTCGACCGTGGCTGGTTAACATGCCCCTGAACAGGAGGAGCCAGTGGGCGGAGCCGCCCGTTTCATGACCATCCTCCGAGAGTTGAAGGCAGAGTTGGCGCCCCAGAAGGTGCCAAGCGGTGCGTTGAAGGGCTTCGGGAGAGCTTTTCGTTGTGGTTGTGAGTGTCGAGAGCACCTCGTTTCTTCATGGGGTAGGTCCCAACAGCCTGTACTTTCTGCCTTGGACAAGGAAGAAAAACCCCATCGGAGCTGAGCAGGATCGGCATTCTCATGATCTTCGTGCTCGTGCTTACCGCCGCCTCCTCCCTCCTACCTTCTCCTCCATCGTCTCTGTCGTCTGCGTCGTCATCGTGGCTCCTCCTCCTCCTCCTCCTGATGCTGATGCTGCTGCTAATCCTGCTCCTCCTATCGTATCAACATCATTGTCATCATCATCACCATCATCATCAACATCATCATCATCGTCATCATCATCATCATCATCGTCATCATCATCGACATCATCATCGACATCATCATCATCATCATCATCATCAGCATCATCACCACCATCATCATCAGCACCTCCACCACCATCCTCCTCCTCATCATCATCGTTTCTTCTTTTTCATCACCACCCACTTCAACACATTCATCATCTCCATCAGCATAACTGTGGTTGTTTTACATGTTGTGTTCTTTGTCATCGTCATCACCATGACAATCACCATGACCATCACTATCATCATCACCATCATAATCACCATTATCCTCCTCATCATCATCAGCAGCAGCATCATCAGCTGCATTTGATTGCGCATTGTCGCCGTCAAAATAGCCGTTACCATCATCATTATGACTGACACCCCGTCACTCTCGTCGTCACGCTGCTATGAGCGTGCTTGCCGTAATGATCACGGTGATGTCAATGGCTGTTGACCATGTCCATGGTCATCATAACAATCCCCTGCATCATCGGCATCGTCATCTGCATCACCACCAGCATTATGGCATCGTGATGTTCTGACCTCCTCTCCTGCTGCATGAACCCCCCCGGCAGGTGCTGGTCTGCATGTCCGGGGACTTCGTGGGGCCTTCGCTGACTTCATCTTTCAGCAAGGCTTCTTCTGTTTGATGGCAGAATCCCCAGAACGTAGACAAGCCCTGAAACCAAGGGAGTTCTAAAGAACTTCGAAGCCACGCCTTCCAGGGAAGACGCCACATCGGTTTGATCAGGTGTCAGGACTCAGGACTGGAGATGGATTGTACAAGGTGTGTAGACTTGACTTCATCATTGCGTCCCATTTTCCCGAATGCGTAGCAGAAGGGTTCTCGTTTGAAGGTTGGGAGTCTGGGGGTTAGGAGTTGACGCCGAATGCGTGCGCAGCGTCCGCAAGCGTCCGCAAGCGTCCGCGAGCGTTCGCGAGCGTTCGCGAGTGTCGCGCCCAGCCCCCAGCCCCCAGCACCCAGCCCCCAGCACCCAGCCCCAAGCCCCCAAATCGTCGCGAAACGCAGAACTGTCGTCACTTTTTGGACCTCGCGTTCCAAAAGTGTCAACAGTCACGGGGATGGAGGGGGTCCTGGTCGCGAAACCTAGAACTGATAATCCTGCTGCTATCGGGCGCGCAACTGCATTCGGGTTCGTGGCTCCTATCAGGTTTGATGTCTGTTTTGGTTCCGTAGCAGGTCACAGACTCCTCATGCACGTCCCAAGCAGTAGAAGTAGAAAGCCCCCGGCGCAAGACACTGATCCTGTGACCCCTAGTGTTTGCTTCGCCTGGAGGGCGCGCACATCATCGATGCCATGAATGCAGTCGGGGTGGACTACGCGACTTTCGGGAATCATGAGTTTGACTACGGCTACTTTGCTTCTCTGAGTCGAGGCTCTACCTGCCTCAAGCGAAGGACAAAGACAGAATCGAAAGTTGGGTAGCAGGGAGCTCCCAGTCGGTCTAGCTTCATACATCTTTACTGCTTGCATCAAAGCATTTTCGGGTTATTCTACAGACTCACAGCCGCCTCGAGTGCTACAGTTCTTCTTTCCCTCTGATGCATAGAGGCGGCCACGACCGCCCTGCAAGAACAACAGCATTTTCTGAGCATGTTTGCTGGAGAGCTGTCGGCCATGGCCATGTGGCCACGGACTGAGGCTACCAATCCCTCCTCAACCGACTTCAAGGTTACGATGACGACGCGCAGGCACTCGGTTTCCCGAAGCCTGGCGCACGACTCCAGTCTACTCCAAGCATTTTGGGATTAAGCTTGTGCGTAAGGATGAAAACGCCGATTCCCATCCTCAACCCTCCACTTGAATCCTTGAGGATATCGTGGAGCCTTTAAGCGGCCAGAGCCGTCACAGTTCCTGCTTCATGGAGAGCCGGAAGCCTCCAGAAATCCCGGAGCTGAGCTTTCAAGTTCGAAGAGCTGCGTCCCTGAAGCCGAGACAGAGCCAAGAACCACCAGAGCCCTCCCCCGACGAGGCAGGCGAGGGCCACGAGGAGGCGGTGACTTGGGGGGTTTTGGGGATCAGGGATGAGGGTGCTTAGGGGCCTCAGAGTGCGGAGTCAGCATCACCTCCAGCATATCAACGATCCAAGACGTCAGGGCTCTGGGATGCACTTGCTGGCATCAGGTCGACTACCCGAAATCCACGGCCACCTGGCTCATGCCGCTTGGAATCAAAGTCTCCTTAGCCCTAGTTCTTGTCTATATTGTAATTTTTACATACAAATTTGCGGATGATAATAAGAAGGCTTTGCCAAAAGCTTAACCGGAAGGCCCAAGTCAATCCCGAAGGCTGGGAAGGGCTCCCTGAACTAAGCGATGCAAACTCCACGCCCCCCAGGCCCAAACTCCACAGCGAACCGCGAGCTGAGGACCAACATGAGCGAGGGGAAAACCGGTGATCCGGTGGGTGGTGCCGAGACGAAGCGTTACGACATCGTGGAGGCCAGGAGCCTAAGCCTTTTTGAGCTTAGTCTGGACTTCGCACGGAGAGGAATGCTATGCAGTTATAGACGCAAGAAGGGTTCGAGGTAGGATTTGGCAGTTTCCAGTTCATCGATTTGAGGAGCTGCGTTGATTGATGCAGGCATCCGTTTCCGGGCTCGTCAGCTTGTGTGCCACTTACACTTGGCAGAACTCTCAGAAGTCTCTCACTCTTGCGACTCTTGCGACTCTTGCGACTCTTGCGACTCTTGCGACTCTTGCGACTCCCGACTCTTGCGGCGTTGGAGTTGCCGAGCCCATGGCCGCGCGCCGCGCGCCGCCCGGCAAGGGGAGGCTTCCCTGTGCGGCAGCCATTGTCGCAGCACTGGCGGTGCACTGGCCGACAGGGTTCCAGGCACCGCGGCGACTCGGCTGGGGGCCCTGGGGGCGTGGGCCCGGCAGAGCGGGGCTCCGCTCGCTCCGCTCGCTCTCTCCGCCTGCGCCTTTCCGACCGCCGAGCTCCGGCTTCGGCGAAGGGGCGACTGCGCCAGCGCGACGAGCCCATGCCGCTGCGGCGTTGACCGGGTCCCTGGTCGTTGCCAACTTCTTGCCACCCTTCCTTGGGCTTCTGCAGGCCGAGTACGGCGTGTCTTACGGATACGGCCTTGCAACTGCCTTCTCTGGAGCTTTGCTGTTTGCAGGAAATCTGCCAACGCCGGTAGCATTGCACGCCGGCTGCCTTTGCTTCTACGGCGCGAGGCTGTCCCTTTTTCTCTTGTATCGTGAGCTGTGCATTGCACGGTTCCGTGAGTTTCGCGACAGAATCGAGCAGAGATCAAGAGACAGTGGGAGCCGTTGGAGTCGCGTGCCCTTCCTCAGTGCTTGTGCTGTTTTGTACTTGGGCTTGGCTGCTCCCATTGCCATGGCCACCGCAGCACCTTCCGTCGAGAGGTTCCTCGTGTACAAGGTCGCTGTAGGGCTCATGTGCTCTGGCTGCTTCCTTGCGGCTTTGGGCGATTTCTGGAAGTCCTTGGCAAAGGCAAAGCGGGGAGAGGATGCCTTGGTTACCGGCGGCCCCTTTGCAATCTTCAGGCATCCGAACTACACCGGTGAGCAGCTTTTGTGGACAGCCAGCTTCGCTGCGGGGCTCTGCGCCTTTGCTGCCTATCCCTCACCTTTGAAGGCTCTGAAGGCCCTCTGGCTGCCGACCTTGGTGGCCTCGCTGGGCTATCTCGGCATCTTCTTCGTCCTCATGCAGGCCACCCGCGGCCTGGAGCAGCGGCAGATGAAAAACTACGGAGGCAGCCAGGCCTTTGAATCCTGGCGGGCTCGCACCTGGGGCGGCTTCAGCTTGTCCCAGAAGCTTGCAGAAGAAGCCGCCTCCAACGATTAGAGGCCCAGCAGGAGAAAGAGTGCTGCCCAGATCTCTGCCCTTTCGTCATGCAGGGGTTTTTGGGTCTAGCTTCACAGCCACCGTGCCGCGGTTAGCCAAGCTAATGCAGCTAATGATTAGGTATTCGCAACGATGATAAGTATCCACGCTTGAAAACGTACAAGGTCAGCATGTTCTTCGGCACAGTAGCAGGTCCCGAGCATATGCAAAAAGGGTTTTGCTGGTCCAAGCAAAGAGAGCCCAAATCCGAGAGACGCTCTGGTGCAGCTTAGTACACCCAGTAACCAGGCCACAGGTGGATTTTGCAATTCCGCTGAATGACTTGAGCTCAAAGGCCCAAGCCCAGAGCCGTAACGCTACCCAGCTACCCTTAGCATCCCTTAGCCGTCAAGCTTCGATAAAGATCCTCTGCCGGCTCTATCTCTCGAGGTCAACGGCGTGAAGGTCGGGCTGATGGGCCTCTCCGAGGCTGTAAAAGTCGCAGCATTGCCACAAGATTACTCGCACCACCGTTATCCATGAGTGATGCCTCATGCTTGCAAATCAATGTGGTGCTAAGTAGGCCGGCGAGAGAGTAAGAGAAGGGCCTCAAGGGGCTTCTTCCACTTCGAGCTTGAGGTCAGGGTTTGGGGCTCAGTCCTTGGCCTGAAATTGAAGGGACCCGCTCGTCCCCAAAACACCGTGATAAATCCGAAGTGCTGGTGCTTCCCACCTCGTCTGGTCCCTTTTCGTGTAGTTGATAACCCGTACTTCGCGTTAGAATCGTAGTCAGAAGCTCTGGGACCTCGCGCTTGGCCGTGGAGGACTGGCTGGCCGGCTGCTCGCAGTTGCGGGACGGGGAAATCGTGTACAAGGACCTTGTGGCGTGTCGCCCCTTCGTTTGTGTTTCTGGGTCCTAGGCGCTTTAGAAGATATTACTGTACCGGATGACCAGCATCAGTGAAATCCGGTTTCTGCAATTGGAGTAAAAGCAAAACTGATGGTTGGTGTCGTCAGTGTAGTTGCTGTCCTTCCTCTTGCGATCGGGCATGCCCACTGGATCACTATTACGGGGCGATGGTAGGATCACATCGAGACGGGCCGCGAGTATGCCCGGAAGATGAGGCAGGAGGGGGCCCAGGCGCGGCGACCCCGAAGCGAAGCGGCGAAGCCCCCGACCCGGCCTCAGCTCGAAGGCCGAGCTCTTTCTTCGCGGGTCCCGCAGGTCGTGATTGCCCTCACGCACAACCGCTTCGAGAACGACAAAGTGCTCACCGCGGTGCCCTGTCAGAGACAGTACGATGACAGGTGCTGGATGATGTGCCAGCAGTGGTGATGAGTCTTCGTGCTGGTGATGACGGTGAGGATTGCAAGGAGGATGATAGGAGGAGGGGGAGCCTTTCTTTCTTTGGTTCTGGCTTCGGTCCTCATCAGCAGTTGCAGCGGGACTCAACACTCAACCTAAACCCCCAAGCCCTCAACCCTCAACCCTAAAAAGAAAGCTGCTCCAAACCCTACTACAGTGGCCTAGAGGAATGTGATTCCAGGCCGTCCCTGAGATCGACCTCCTCCTTGGTGGCCACGACCACTTCTACAAACGTGCGGAGCGCCGCACACAAAGCGTAGCGGCATTGTAGGGGTCCTTCTATAATGAGGATCCTGCCTACCAGATCTGAGGGGTCCTCAGAAGGCCACTTCCAGAAGAAGGAGTATTGATCAACGCTCAGGGCTCCAGCTAGGGGTTCTGCTACGGCTCCCTTTGTTTTTTTTAGCGGTCCCCTTGGGTGTCTTTCCCATTTGTCGATTGAGAAGATGCTCACATTCCGCATGAAGTACGAAGCCAAAGAGCCCAATACCAGACCACCAGCTGCAACCAGCTGTCAGATTGTTTCTACTGACGACGAGAAAGCTCATGGTCTTGAATTTATGATTCGGCTGGCCCGATCCAAATTGGACCACTCCTAGTTGCGAAGGTTTAGCTTTTCGAGAAACGTCTCCAGCCCAAAACAAGCCTGTCTGGGAGGATAAGAAGCACCGCGTGGTCAAGTCCGGTGAGGCTTGGCGACTGCCGGAGGGACTTGCAGTTTCACCTCGCATTGGGTGCCCACGTTTCATGTCTCGCAGCAGTGGGCCAGGGTACCATGTTCCACCTTTTTAGAAGGGGACTCTTGCCAGGACCACCTTTTTAGAAGGGGACTCTTGCCAGGAGTGGCGTTGGCTGACACACACCACCCTGCACATGATGGGGGATACACTGAAGAAGCTGTCCGTCGAGCGCTACGACGTGGACACATGCCTAAAGTAATCATGCCAATGAAAAGATGATTCCAAGATTTTCAGGTGTGGCGTGTTACGAAGCCGTCACTTCACCAGCTTTGTCTGCCTCTTCCCAGAAAGCAAGATGTGCCCGAACAGTAGACATAAGATGTGAAAGAAGAGAGTTTCTCGAAGAGACATCGCGGCACCACACCGCCCTCCCCCTCGCCCCAGCCGAGGACTCGGACGTGGAGTGCGATCCTGTTCTGCAGGAGCTGGTGGACAAGTACGCGCGGATTCGGGACAACAAGTTCAAGCAGGTGATCTGCCAGATCAAGAGCCCCTTCGATGCCACCGAGGAGTGCTGCAGATATCAGGAGGGTGTGATGACGAACTGGATTTGTGACGCCGTGGCGGAAGACTACTCTGTGAAAGATGGCCTTCAATCGGCAGATTTTACCATGATCATGGGCCTCCACTTTGCTGGCAAGAAGGCATCTGGGGCTTGGGATGGTGGTTTGCTTGAAGTTGTGAGGAGTAGCCGTAGCAGTAGTAGTAGTAGTAGTAGTAGTAGTAGTAGTAGTAGTAGCAGTCGTCGTCATAGTAGCAGTAGTAGTAGAAGCAGTCGTCGTCATAGTAGCAGTAGTCGGTCGGTCGCAGTCGTCGTGGTGGTGGTGCTGGTGGTGATGGTGTTGGTGGTGGTGCAGTAGTGTTGAGCGGAAGCAAACGTGGTAAACAGAACGCGGAAGCAGACGCAGGGGAGCCAGCCATTGCGAGCAGGAGAGCGGGAGCCGGAACGGTGTTGGGCAGCGGGTAGGTTTGTGCGTCTGTTGGTGTGACTGGGAGAGTCTGTGACGTATTCAGGAAGATCAAAGTGCTTGTCATGCCAGCCGCTGCTGGTTGCAACATCGGAGCTGCACCACAAAGGACAGTGATATAGGGAAGCAGAGCTGGTCACAGGTCATTATCGTAGAAGTAGATGCGAAGAGCAAGCTATTGAAATCTGAGAGTCCCTCGCAGGCTAGGTCTTCAGGAGCTTGCAGGAGTCGTCGGCAAGAGCGAACCTTCCGCCTAACAAGACATTCGGGGACCCTCCGGCCCTTGGCTTTGATACATCGAGAGTTACGCATGTAGCAGGGCAGTTCAAGAATGCACCCACAAGCACTGGCACTACTGAGCCCCTCAGCGATAGTCTCACTGGCTTTCATGGCCCCCTTTCAAGCAGCACCTTGGCTTGTTCAGCTTTACCCTGCTGCCAGGTCTTCTCGGCGGGGGATTTTACATTGGGTTCGCTGATGGCCGTCTTCCCGAAGCCCTGCCAGGTTCCCTCGCAACTTCAAAATCAGACCGGCGAAAGGGTCTTTCCGCGGGTTTTGGTTGGTTGGGGCGAACTTCGATTCATCGAAGCAGTTGCTGGTAGCAGGTTTCGCTGCCTTGGAAGCTACTGGTGAAGCCGTTCCAGCAGTGGTAGCTCTCGAGCATGCAGCGTTCGGAAGACGAGAGCTCCATGCGATTATCTGTTCGTCTTTATAAACCTTCACCTTGGGACTTGTCTGATCTCATCACCTGATCTCCCAACGCCTGTGGTTTCAGCGCCCTCTCTGAGGTGGTGGTTCTGAAGCTCAAGGGCTCCGATGTCATCAAGTCCCTGGAGCGCGGCTGCTCCTTTCTCCCTAAGGCGCGGCTAGAAAGCCTGGAGTGCGGGACAGTGCAGAAAGTCGGGGACCTCTCATACATCAGCCTGGGGAGCAGAGTCTTGCGCGAGCTTTGCGAGAGCCTGCTCCAGGAGTGTGGCCCTCTTCACCACACCAGCGAAGCTCTGACCTACAAGATCAAGATGGGCAAGGGCAAGCAGGCTAACCAGGCGACTAGGGCCCAAGTGCATTGACAGAGAGCTTTTTTGTGCATGCTGTGTAGCTGTGGGAGTCCGGCTTCAGCAGAGCTCATCCCATAGTCTTGTTTTTTAATCTCACACACTTCGGTAGTGCCGGCATCCTGGACGCTCGGCGACTAGGGACTGCTCCAGCTTCTTGAAGCATGGCGATGAAGATTTTGGGTTTTTACATCGTGAAGATGACGACCATGTTTGCGATCAGGATGACAAGGATGATCATGCCGATGTTGATGATTCTGGTGATGTTGTAATTGATGGTTCCAGTGATATTGTTGATGAGGATGATGTCGTGATGGTTCTTGTGCTCGTGGTATTGCTGTTGTTGTTGCTGCGGCGGCTGCTGCTGTTGCTGCTAATTCCAGTCTCCGTATGAATATTGCATGAAGTAGACCGACAGTTGGAACATAGATCACGGATGATTTGTGCTAGCATTCCCTATGCATACTAGCCGTAACGGTAATCCAACGGCATCAGGATGCTGCTGCTGCTGCTGCTGCTGCTGCTGCTGCGGCTGCTGCTGCTGCGGCTGCTGCTGCTGCTGCTGCTGCTGCTGCTGCTGCTGCTGCTGCTGCTGCCACTGCAGTTGCTTCTTGGGCTCGGGGTGCTAGGTGTGCTAGGACTGCTGCCGGTGCTGGTGGTGGTAATGGTGCTGGTAGTGGCAGTTAATCTGTTGTTGGTGGTGGTTTTTAAAACAGCACGAGTTCCTAGTACTGCCGACCAGCTCCCATCGCCTTTGCTGCCGCAACTGCTGTTGTCGCTGGCCTAGCCCCGAACAAACGAACAGCCAGGTGACCGATGTGAAAGTCAAGGGCAAGCCGATCGAGCCCGGCAAGTTTTACGAGGCGACAGGGAGCTCTGGGTTCGGGACGTCCGAGAACCCTCAAAGCTAGACGGAGCTCAGCGGAGCTGAAGCCCTGACTGAGGTGGCCGTGACGGAGACGATGGCCCAGGGGAAGTTCGGATACCCCTGGATGGCGGAGGCTGAGCGAATCGTGGACGAAGAGTCGGGGATGCAGATCCAGGACCACCGCGGCCTTAGTTCTAGGGCTTTCGTTTGGTTTCAGGCTCTGCGGTCAACTCTGAGCTTCTTCGATAGAGGGTTTGGGGATGGTGGTATTTGCTGCTTCAACGTGTGATATGTGCAGACCCTTCAAGATGGCATAAGATGGCCCCTTACTCTGGCTTGAGCACCGGGCCGACCGAAAAGGACGACGTCCCCAAATTCAAGAGAAGAGTTCGAAGGTTTCTGCCCCGTAAACTTGGTGAGAAAGCCCATATCCCGACTGGCGAAGCCCAAGTTTTCAGGATCTGGTGCTCATGTATCTGAAGCGGCACCCAAAGCAGGCAGCCCAGGCACAGCTAGGAAGGATCAAGATTCTCTCTTGAAAGAAGGAGCCGGCCGGTCATCGGGGGCTTTGCTCTTAGCTAGGGGATTTCGGGTTCATTTCGGGTCACGGGACTCTCATGGCCCGGCACCTTCTGATAGCTGCGAGCTTTCGAGCTCGTGCCAGTCAGGCACAGCAGACGGCATCTAGCCAACGGAAAGTGTGCAGCACGGTACTGCTAAGTGCGCAAGCAAGCGAAGAAGAAACAGATAACACACACCGAACAAGCAAGGCCTGAAAGAAGTCTTCGTGCGGAAGTTGAAGTTGTTGTCTGCGATCGGTCCACAAAGACCATTCCTGTCCGGATTCCTCTCAAGGAGGGGCCCACTCTTGATGGACGTGAATCAACCGTAGCGAACAAAAAACCCGAAGCTCAGTCGGAGCTTGATACGTTAGTCTGATGATTCGGGTCCCCAGACTAGTTCCTGGTGAAATCGCCAGGTCCGGTGCAGCCCTTTAAACCCTTTTGCTTTGTGCAGCGCTCCAAGCGCTCCAAGCCTGAAGCAGAGCAGCCAAAGAGAACCTTTGATCGGCCGCAATCTAACCACCTCGAAAAACTGCCCTCGAGCATGGATACGTAGACTGCAGGTATGTATCTGCGCGCTAGTAGAAGCACTATATGAGTATAATATGTATCCAGAATCCAGATCTTTCTCAGTCTGTATGCGTGTGCATGCAGAACGGCCAGCAGATGACTCTCCCCTACTCAAGAGCCCCACAGCCCAGGAACTGTTCCCTGGTTTTAGTGCATCGCCGTGGTGTAGAATACACCGCTGGCGTGAACCGCATAGCAACCTGCAGGCATGCGGTAGAGCATCCAGCATGGAAAAGGCGCTGTCCAGGTCTGGTGTATTGGGGTTTCGGTGTGTTGCGCTGACTTGATCTTCTCAGAATCTTCTCGTTTGGGCGCTTTCTTCCGGTCAACTTGTCTAAGGGCTTTTCGCAATATAGATCGGCAGACTCGGGATTTCTGCTAGGTGATCGGGCCGCCGAACCAGCAACTCATAGCCAATATGTCAACAGGCTCCATCCCGTATCCGGGGGAGGGAGGGTTCCGGCGTTGAGATACCTGGTTACCGGGTGAAGAAGACACTTGAGTGCGATGGATGGTGTAGTGTCCTCTTGCGAAGCGCTGCAGGTCCGCCTTATGTCGTCTCATTCTTGTTGCCCCTGATGTTGCTTGTGTTTGTTGCGAGGGGATGGAGAGGTTGATGGATCCTCGTCTCGTGCTCTGGGAACCCGGAAGTTGAGCCCCGAAGAGCGACGGTGATGGTGACTTTGCGGTGTTTGGTGCCTGGTTGCAATTATTTGCAATTGTTCAACGGTTTTTGGAATCCCCAGGCGGTGCATGAATGTAGACCCCAATCGCAGCCTCAAGCGACTCAAGCACCAACAGATCCTACACTTGAGGAGCGAAGCCCGTCGACGTTCGAAACGTTTTGTCGTGCTTGTCATTCGAACCTTAGGTTCGGGTTGCAGATCTTTCGAAGCGCAGCAGGAACATTTGACGCTGCTCAAGTTGCTTCAACTGCATGAACTCGACTCTCGACACGCCCTACCTCTTGAAACTGGGATGCCATAGGCAAGCAGGTGGCAATACTCATAACTGTCCAGACTGCTCGGATGGCGTCCTGCGACGTCGTCGATGTCGCGGCTTGCACAACTGATCCTTGCCGTGGGAAGCAGATTTGGCTGTTGCTTTACGTTGTCCGTCGCCCATGATGTTTGAACCACGCCATTCCAACAGGGGTCTACTCCACACTCTGTATCGCGGCTGCTTCCTGAACCCGACCGGTACCACCGTGGATAAAGCCCGGCGTCCTATGAGCATCGCACCCTAAACTCGTTTCTTGAAAAGAGAAACTACGCCTTCGTCTTCGCTTCTCCGCTTTTTGAGGCTGACGCGGTTCCGGCTGCCCCTGGAGACGACCTCGGCTGAGCTGCGCAAAGCCTACTACAGGCTTTCTTCTACCGATCGCGAGGGTCGTGACTGTTTACGGGTTTTGGGTTTACTGGGGTCTGCGAGCCCAAACTGCTAGTGTCCATACCTTGGAGCCGTAAAGGCAGCAACAGGAAGCTACGCAAAAAGACTTTCCAAAACAGAGACGCGGGTTCTGTCAGCAGAGTCGCTGAACTGCCAGGATCCTCACCATGATGTGGATGCACCGAACTCCTCGACATCCCTCAAACTTTATTCAACGCCCAAGACCCAATGTGACAATGTGAGATCTTGTTAAATCTACACTCGTGAAGAAGTGCTGTTCCTCAGGGAGGCGAAGTTGCTGCATCCGGATCGAAATCCGAGCAGCAGCGGTGCACAGGCCGTCATGTTGTTGTGATTTGGGGTTCAAGGTTTAGGGTTCAGGGCTCAAACATTGTGCTTTAGGAGTTGGGGTGCATGTTTTAGGGTTTGCTATAAAGACGATGCGCCGTCATCCCGGTCAGTTACGAATATCATTGCAATGAGTACAACAGCATACAACGCTCGAGATAGCATTTTCAGTGATTACGACTGTGCTGACTGTCGTGGGACATTTCGACCTTCACAAGACTGCGATTGCAAAAATGTGGTAACCTAGAACTAATTTTGCCATCAAAGAGACAACAACATCGGAATGAATGACTTACAGATTTGAGAAAAACGTGTCATCGTCAATCCGCTTTTGTTTGCAAACTGGCCTCGGCGAATTTGTTGTCTTTATTTCCGCGAATCGCAACCTATTGAACGTATGTCACAGACCTTCAGCTATCACAGCTCCTGGTATTTACAATTTACAAGTCTTGTCGCTTCGCAGGCAACCTGATGCGTCAAAGACATAGTCGAGGTAAAGGTAGTAGAGTAGCTTCCTGTGGGTGGTAGTCGATCATGAAATGATAGTGAGACATACTTGCCTTGTGATGCTTGTCATCCCTGCTGGGTTGGAAACGAACTTGAGACACTAAGGCACTGATGCATGCTTTGATAAAACAATAATGGCGGGCATGTGTCGGGCAGCCCATATTGCCGTGAGAATTGGCTGCCAGTACATCATCGCGTTCAACACTTCCAGCGCAAAAAGTTCAATTTGGCAGTGTAAGCCGGAGCTTTTCAATGTGCATCGCCTGGGCTCATTGCCCTTTATTCCTGCCACTGGCTTTCACCGTAGCCCTTTCTCAACTTCTGCTTCTTCTGATTTGTGCTTTCCTTTCGACCTGCCTTCTGAATGACATGTTGTTTTTTCCTCTTCCGTTCCGTGCTCCTTGTCCCGGGATTTGTGTTTTAGATCCCAATGGATTTCGGGGTTTACTTTGGCGTCAGCTTCTGGTTGAGAGAGTCAGCCCAGACCTTCTTCTAAAGCCTCAAGTCAAAGCTTGGGGGTTGTTCTTTTGCTTCGCCCAAAGCTTCATGCAGTTTACTTCCCCTCCGCGAGCCTGGAGGCAAAGCTCCAGGCCTGATAGTGGGGTTGTCCTATCGGCTTGTTCAATACCATGATAAGAGACAGAGTATGAGTAATTACTGTTCTAGCTCCTGGTTAAGTACTACTACAAATGCTTGTTGAAACCCCTCATTTGTTTGGTTGCAGCTGGAAATTGGGCTCGAACTGCGAAAGGCCGTCGCCTGTTGATTCATCCTCCAAACAAGAGACAGACAGAAAGCGAAGAGAGCCAAAGAAACGGACAAACGGAGGCCTTCGCACAATTGCGTGCCGACTTCGAGGAGGCTTGCTGCTTGCTGTTGCTCTTGGACTTCGGGGTTTGGTGTAACAACCTCAGAGGCGTTGGGAACGGGAGCACTGACGATTGTTGGCATAAGCTTGGTCGTGATGTCAACGAATTCCACCAGCAGCACCATGATGGTATGTTAGGGAGGAGGCGGCTTTCAGAGGTTTTGGTTCGAGCTTCCCGGGCTTGGCCTTCGATTTGAGATCCGTGCTTTCATGCAGCCGAATGCCGGGAAACTTGTCTCGACTTTTTTCCGGAGAGTTTCTCGAAGCCAGAAAACGTTCAAGAGATGCCAGACCCAAGTCTCGAGAGGTCGGTTCGATCAGCACAAACAGGAGTTTCCGAATATGTGGGACCCCCAAGATAGGTTCCCAGCAGACTCCGGGAGCTTCGACCTTCCCATGGCCTTCTGCGACAGGCCCAGAAGCTCCTTGAAGAGCCACAGCGCGGCCCCGGCCCTCCCCATCCAGGCTCGCGACATCAGGATCAGTGTCCTGCCTCTGTCCTTCCTCTTCCGAATTCATGTTGAGTGGCTCCAAAACCCAGGGGCTGTTTTGATAGGAGAGTCGTCATCAGCATCAGTGAAGATGCCAGCCGCAGTGGCAATAGCAACCTGAACAGCAAAGCTTCAGAATGGTCGAATAACATACGGTCATGTTTGTTGAAATTGCAGAACGAAGCCCGTCATGACTCAGGACAGCTATAGAAGGATGGTAAGTGTGGCATGCAGAGCCATTTAGCAAATCGCAACGGTGACAGCACATTACAGGCTATGACAGTATCATTAGGCACTGTCGGCACGACGATCAGCATTCATCGCCTTCGTGATGATAAAGCCAGCGATATCGATGATGATGACGACGATGGTGGTGATGATGAAAAAGATGATGATCGCGTTGATGCTGGTGATGTTGACGATGACCATGATCCACATCAGGTTGAATATCTGGTACGTGCTGCTGCATATGCTGATAATATATGCCAGTGGAGCTGAGATGACTTCTGCGATGATGCTGCTGCGCAGACTGGTGATGGTGGTGACCGTAGCAACACTTGCGGTTGCTGTCATGAGGACATATGAGAGTGAGAATGACGGTTTCAGATGTTGAGTGCGGTTAGGATTGCGAAAGGGATAAGATGAAGATGATCTTTCAGTGGTTTCGTTGCAGCGTGGTAGAGAAGGAACAAGCGGCAGTCTTCCCCTCTGAATGGAATCTGCTCGCGTAGGAGCTGGCGGCTGCTAACCACTCAGGACAACAATAGTTTTGTGTGTTTCTTTTAGATTTCCTCCCCCCCTGCCCGTGCAGCAGCCACCTAACAAATGCTAGCCGTCTCTCTGCCAGATGGGCCAGACTTCTCTTTCGAGGACCTGCTGAGCCTGATGGTAGTTGCATGATTGATGATCAAGATAACAGTTCGGATATTGATACCGTAATGACGAGGATGAAGATGATGAAGACGATGCTGATGCTGGTGGTCACGAAGAAGAAAAGATGATGCCGAAGATGACGGTGCTGTGTGAAGAATACGACGACTCATATGTAGTGGCATAGAATTTGCATGATGCAGAAGCTCGCGCTAGTCAGCTTCTCCTCGACAGTCATTGGGGCGGAGGGCCGTGTTTTCATCCGCGGCCGAGTATCAAGGCAGTTAGGGGGTCGTCTTCGGAGGCTTCTCCTTTGGAGCGCTGAGCCCTCTCCCCCCTCTCCCCCCTCCGTGGCGAGGACGGCAAGCGCTGGTCGGCCGCCTCCTGGGCCGCGCGGTCCCAGGCGCGACGCTTCCCGAAGCCCCAGAGGGGGCTTCCGAAGGGGGCGTTGTCTTCGGGCTTGTCTTTTATTTTTTGGGTTTGAGGGCATGAAGGTTTCAGCTCTTTGGCTTTGAGGTCATTTCCCAACACCAAGCCCTGCCTGCCGGTCCACAAGCCCCCACCAAGCAACAAAGGCGCCTCCGAAGTTCCGGGGCTTTCGTGAATCCTCCGAATCCCGGCCGGAGCCGGCCGTGCCGGTGGCAGCCCGGCTGAGTTTGGTGCTCTTTGGGCTCTGGCTCGTGGGCTGGTAGCGGGGGATGAAGGAGGCAGATGTGTCAGGGGTCCCTCTGTAGCTGCACTTTTCGAGGCTCATTTGGTTACGCAGGGTTTTGTCAAACGGGCACGTCGATTGACGTGGCTTAGCGTGGCTTCAGGTTCGGGAGGTTTAGCGATTTAGCGCTGAGCGGTTTGCATTGTTTTGGTGTGTAGTGCTAAAAGCATGCTAAAAGCATGCTGGATCTTTTTGCTATTTCAGTTCTTTGCCGGTAGGCGTGGCGTTTGTGGAGAAGGTAGATTGAGGTGAGGGAAGTGAGGGAAGTGAGGGAAGGCTGGTGCTTCTTTTCGTCTTGAATGGCATCTTTATTCCAAAGTGATCGTCATCCAAGATTTATGACTTTTTTCGATCATGCAGATCGCACCGTCTTCGCAAGAGAAACTTTAACAATACAGCGGCAGTGTACGCGTTAGGCGAGCCAGGCTATTGCCTGCGACGGGTGGGCAGTCTAACTGGAAGGACACCCAACTTTCAACAGGACTTGCTGCGTTTGCCGTTTCTGTCTGGAAAAGGTACAGAAGGGGCTTCCTAGCTCAGGGCTTGTGGAAGTCTGAAGGACTTGGGCCTTGCTTAAACGGTCCTAGGTGGGGCTGCCGCACGAGGTGGTGTGCCTCGGCCCTTTGCGGTAAGGGGTGGTCGAGGTTCGGTGAAAGGAAGGACACGAAGAATCATGCAAGGGAAGATAGGTCGAAATGGAGTCAATGGAGTTTGGCTCGAGAGGCTTAAGCCCAGAATTTAGATGTCGGATGTGCTCAGGGATCTGGAGTTTGCCGCTTTGTTGCTCAGATGCACGGTACATGTCGACGAGTTGCGGGCTTGACATCAGATTTTCGCTGCAGCTCACTTCCGCCACGGAACCGAGGTACACCTTCACAGCCGTCGTCTCGGGCGCCATCCTTTTCGGATTCCTCTACCACCTCTCGCAGGAGAGACGGCCTTCACCGCAAGGGGTGCTGTGGTCGGTCTTGTCCGCGTTGCATGCTCCACCAGCTTCCAGGGGCCTAACTAACCCGAAGCCTGCAGGGGAAGAAAAGCCCCGCCGGTTCGGGAAGTTTCCGCAAAGCTCTGGTCCACAGGAGCTCTCGCCTCCCCGGCGTTACTGCCAGCACGCTGTGTCGCCCGTGCACGTTGATTCGGCTTGCAGTGTGAACGGGGTGTTGAGGGCTCGCAGTGTTATTCTGGGGGCTCAAGAAGCCTGAATGTTCTATTCAGTTCCGGATGACTCGTGGGGGTCTCCGAGGGCGACCTGCGCTTGGGGGTAAGACTACACCGGTCACTCTGGCGAGCTGACAGACTCTCTCAAAGATCCTTTCAAGTTGGGCATCCGGAACAATCAGCCGCTGCACTGTTCTTGAATTGTCCCGAAAGCGATCGGAACGGCCAGAGGCGATTGATAAAGCAGGAGTCTGTTGCAAAGTGGGGTGGGCACGTTACACCGGGAGGCTCCTGCAAAATGCAAACGGACGCAGTCCACACCTGCGCGTGGCGCTCGAGAACTTCAGCAAGGCCTGGAGAGGGGGCTGTACGGAAAGTTCGGGTGTCTGTTTGCCAACCTTTTTTGCCACAGGACCTCCGCTTTACTTGCATCAACAGCCACGTGCCCGGTATTCTAAATTTCCACAGAATCTCAATCCCGTGAGCACGAGCTTGCAGCATCACTGAAAGGCCAGCCCTTGTTCAGCAGCCTTCAAGCCTTGAGCAGCGTCCGTGCCACGCTTGCTAGGCCGAAGGTGTTGCAGCCGCCGCCACACCGTTTGCTGCGCAGGCGGCGCACCGGGCGGCTGCAGCCAACGAGGCTTCTGGATTTGGAGCTTCAGGGAGTGGGTGTCTGTTCTGATGCATCCTTGAATCCACCGGACTCGAGCATGATGCGCAGACAAGTAGACTTCATGCAGAATGCGGACAGACAGAAAGACAGACAGACGAGAGACAGAGAGATAGAGACAGATAGGGAGAGGGAGGAAGGGGGAGAAAAAGAGAGGGAGATCGGGGGCAGACACTCACAGATGCATGCGGACTCGAAGGCCGGCGCCCACAAACATGTGGATGCATGCCGGTGTGAGGGGTCATAATTACATACAGTTTGTAACCGGATAGCTAGATGAACGATGCACGCAGAAAGCAGAAAGCAGCGACAACTGGCCAAGCAAAGGCACGACAAGGACTTCAGCCCAAATGCCTCCCTGCACCACATACACACACACACTCTCTCTCTCTCTCTCTCTGTCTCTCTCGCTGGGTTTAGAGGGTTTCCTGCCACCGGAGGCTATCAGGCGAAATTAAGAATCTTGTGTAACCATTATGTAGTTCACTTAGGACATTACATCTTTCTTATAGGATTACATTACATTATTAGTTATCTTTATGACCTAATATTTAATGAGAACTTTTATCACATCTTGGAAGGAGAGTTCAATCATTACAATTGACCAGAGATTGTAGGTCACATCATGTGAGGTTCCGTAGGTTAAGTCATGTGATAGAATTATGTAAGCATAAGTGACCTAATATTTATCACCTACAAGCACCTATTTTCCTAGCTTGTTCTCTGTGATAAATCTCTCCTTGTATCCTTTGATAAGATTCTGCAACTAGGATTTAATTGTATCTCAGGGTCTTATTTCGTTCGCTTCTCTTCTTTCTTTGCTTCATTCATGCTTTCATTCCGCTTCCCTTCATTACATTATAATAAAGCAAAGGGAAGAAACGAACAATAAACCACTCCTCATTCCACCATCATCAGTCACTCGTCTCGTTCACTTTCTTCTCTTCACTTCATTTCAATAAAACATAAGGAAGAGAGAGGAACGAATCACGCATGGTTCTCTTAGAAGAAATGTAGTGCGAGACGAAAGAAGAACGGCCTAGAGGATGGATTCAATTAGATATAGGTGATTTTCCCAATGATAGGATGACCTAGATTCTGAGTCGCTATATGATAGGAGGAAGTTGTCACAGGATACGAGGAAGATTTTAGTTTACCGCATGTGATAAATTCTAGGTCTACCGTAATGGCTCAATCTAGTTATATCTCCTTCTACAATTTGGTAACAGCCGTGTGCTCTGGGTTCGTTGTTCTGTTTCGTTCGTCACTCATTCGCTTGCAAATCAGACTCGTCGAGCAACTCCCAGCGAAGCTTGAAAGCCCGATTGTAAACCAAACGGCTTTGCACAACCACTTGCAGGTCAGCTGGCTGGAGCATTGCGGAACGGACAAAGGCCCAGAACCCGAAGGTTAAGAGATCGGGTCGGAACCTCAGGCATAGCGCTAAAGGCCATTAATGGACAGAGCACAAAGACCTCAAGGATCGGCGTTTGGGAATTTGAGGTGAAAGGGCCCGGATACCATGTGAAGCCGTCCCCCTTTCCTTTGGAGCCGGTTTCAGGGTCCACAATGAACCTTCTACGCTTGAGGCTATGTCATAGTGCGAAGCCTGAGTCCCACGGACGAAACGGCAAGAACGGTGTAGCAAACCGTCTCCAGCCTCCAGCGGCTCATAGGTCTTAGGTGCATGTCCCGGCTCAGCACCGCACCTAGGCTCCGTATCTATGCCGTGAACTGGCCACGTAGTCCGAGACCCCAGGCCCAAGAGTTTCATGCTTCATGTTCCGCAGCATGCCGACCGCTGCTCTTCGCCGGGGATGAACGCGACGACACGCCGCTGCAACTTGACAGTATCGCTACCTTCAGGCGAGAGATTTGCAGTCCGTCCATCAATGTGTGCATGCCGTGCCCACACGATTTCATGCAGAGCAAGGGCGAAGATAGCGGCATGTGAGTATGAACATGCACTCAACATAGCACAATGCAGTGAGATGCTAGGCAGCATCATCATGAGCTCTTCTACACTCTGCTCCTGCTCGCTCTGCACCATGTTCCGGACAGTCTTCGGTATTCGGGTGACCAGTAGTAAATTGTACAATGTACAATGACATACGCATCATTCGCCATGTGCTATACGCGGAGCCGGGATACTTCTGTTTTTTCTATCCGCATGTTGGTTTAGAACTCGGCCAGAGCTATGATATAAGAGCAGCAGAAGTGATAAAGTGTACAGCTGACTTGCTACTGTTGAATGGAATGCAGCAGATTGTCCGGAAGATGGTGCGCAACAGAGTTCGAGCACAGCGCCGAGCAGCCTTGATGATGTAGTCGTTTAGCACAACGTATCCATTGTACTGCACAGTACATCAGCTCTTGTACAGCTCAATATACAGCATATCGTAATTTGGGATGCTTCAACCTGCTAATCTAGATCAACATGCCATGCTGCAAAGTTCAGCTGTTGTGCATTCTCTCGCTTCAATACGACCTTTGCAGTCGGCATAATTTGGTGGGCCAAGAGGTGAATGCCTTTGTGTACATCATATGCTGAGTTGGCACTGGAGCAGGTGGTGCAATGTATGAAGGAAACCTTACTGCGCGAGAGTACGTGGTCATGAAATATGATGGACTCTGACGACATCACGTGGGGATGCTATCGGGTGCAACAAACATAGCAAAAAGCAAGAACCCCCAGCTGCTTGTTGAAATCCAAGTGACGAAGAACACCGCCAGACAAAGGCACCATGGAGCCCGGGCGGGTCGCACCGAGGTGCTCTTGGGTCCTTTGGGGTTTCAGAGGGATTTGGGGTTTTAGCTTCCTTCCCAGCACCTTACGAGGCAACCGTCTTCCAGATGTCATTCTGAGCCCTTTGAGGGTTCATGTTTACCCTCGTCGCCGCAGGCTCCGCCAGAAGCTGTCCGCTGAACTCCCAACACCTATCTTCAATCTAGGCTTGCTGTTCGGCCCGAAACCAGACAGAAGTGGCAAGGCATTTCCATACGGTCTTTCAGGGAGCTCACCGGAGATCCGTGGACTCGAATCGGGGCCGGAACTGCAAACATGCAATTTCTAAGCACCCCTACAGCACCAGTGACCTGCAGCTCCTTCAAGTCGGGAAGCCCCACAAACCCCGAAAGAGCCGCTGCCGTAGGCCGTCTCCGCTCTCATCCGGCTTGGTGCTGACCCTGCTCGGCTGCCCTTTGGACCGACAACTTGGAGCCATAACTGCTGTCCTTCCCCTGCTCTTGCGGTTGCGAAGGCCGCTGCCGCTGCACTGTTGATCACTGGCCTATATGACTACTGCTGTACTTATTGCTCTGTGAACTCTGCCTGATTGTGAACCGCAGTCATGAGATGCATGTACATGATTGTGTATATATCTGCTGCCATAGGGCCCTTGAGTCATACAGAGTAGCTGT